ATAATTTCCGCTCGCCTTTAAGTATATTAAGCTTTATAATATATTTTTTATAAATATTAATATTTTTTTTATTAACCTTCGAAAGTAATAAATTATTTACGTAAATTATAGACTATATAATAAATAAAAATAATTTTTTTAATATTTTATAAACTAATATAATAACTTTAATACGGTTAAACGTAGTTCTCGCGGCCCTCTTTACTTTTTTATTTATTTACGGTAAGTAAAGTACGGTTTTAAAAATAATAATATTTTTTTAATCGGCCTAAGCGGCTATATAATTATCGTTAAAGGTTTTAAAGCCCTAAATAAATTCCGTACCGCGGTTAAGGTTAATAATATTAATTTTATACCTAGTTTAATACGTAATTTTCGTTTTAAAATCCTTAACTTTATTAAATACCTACTTTTTTTTTATTATAAAATTAATTTATTTATAATTACTTTATATATTTATATATTAAATAAAATACTTATAACCTAAATATTTAAAGTTCTTATAAATAATAATATTAATATAAATAAAATTAAACAGATTATTAATTTACGAAAAGGTTAATAAATTTAATTAATTTATTATTTTTATTATTATATAAAGTTTATAAAAAAAATTATTATTAATAAATTTAATACTTATTTACGTATAAGCTTTATAAATATTATTTTTATTAATATATATTAAATAATAATATATTATTCGGTAATTAATAAATATTATTATAGCCTTAATAAAAGTTTTCGTTAAAAATACTTTACTAAAATTAATATTAAATATTATATTTATTTAATATATATTATTATTTTTAATTAATTTATATATTATTTATTTAATATCTTTAAAGATTAGATTATAATTTTTTTAATTTTAAAAAATATTTTTATTAAATAATTTATTCGCTAATATTAAATTAATAAACGTTTATAAATAATATACCGTTTCTTTAAACTTTAAAGTAATAATTTAATTACTTAAAAAAATAAATTATAATACTACGGTACTTTAATAACTATACTTTATAATATCTCTTAATAATAAAAATTTTTTTTTTCCTTCTCTTTAGAATAATAAATAAAGTCGGTAAATTATTTTAATTTATTAAATACGAAATTTATATATCTGGAATTATAATATATATAATTTTTAAATATTTTAATAGCTTATTAAACTTTAAAGGTATTTATTAAAAAAAGTATTACTTTTAAAGGCCGAAACGAAAATTTAATTAATTATTATTATAGTAAGTAGGGAGTAATATATTAATAAAATTATTAAATAGTATTAAAGTATTATAAATAAATTAATTTTTTAAAAATTTAATATTAATAATATTATTAATATAATTTTAAAAAGATTTTATTAACGAATTAATATTTTATTACTTTTTTTATTTATCCGCTTATACTTTTTCCCTATACTCTTAATCCTTTAAAATTTTATTAGGGTTATACTATTAATAAGCTTTATTTTTCGAATAATAACGATTATAATTTATATAATATTAATTACTTTTTTTTAAACCTTTAATATATTAATTATATTTTTTTATTAAAATTAATAATATAATAAATAAAAATATAATTACGGCCGGGGCTTTAATAATTTTAATAATAATTTTAAAATAAATTAATATAATTTCTTTTATAATAACTTTAATATTATACTTTTAATAAAAAAGCGATTAAGTTATAGTATTATCTTTTATTTTTTTTATTAACCGGTTATATAAATCGGGATATATAATTTTAATATTATTTAAAGTAATTTAAAAGTAAATTATATAACCGATTTTAATTTCTATTATATTAAAACGATAGCGAAAAACCTTAAGCCGGTTAAAATAAATTTAAAATAAAGTAAAGTTAATACGTTTAAAAATAAAGTATTTTTTTAAAAATATATTAATAATATCGAAAGTACCGCGCTATAGGACTTAAATAATTTTTTAATATAAACTATAGGTATTAATACTATTAATTTTTTAATTTAAATTAAAAATTTATTATTGGATTTTAAGCTTTTTAACGGAAATTATTATTAAATTTTAAATATTTAGGTTATTAATATACTATTAATCGAAAGTAAGTATCCTTTTTTCCGTTAATAACTATATATTAACCTTAATATAATTCTTTAAACTATAATATATAAGGGACTAAATTAATTAAAATTTTTAATTAAAAAGATTAGTTTTTAAGTTTAAAGCCGGTAAGGTTTAAAAAATTTATTACTTAATTATAATAATAATATTAATATTCCTTATAGTTTTTATAAATTTTAAAAATTAAATTATAATAACGTTAATATTAATTATTTTAAAAGAAAAATTAATTAAAGAAAAGTTATAAAAAAATATTATAAAAAAAACGTTAAAAGAAAAATTTAAAAAAAAATATTACTTAACTTTATAACCGTTAATAATAAATTAAATTAATTTAAGTAAAGGGCGAGATATTTACTCCGCTATTAATTTCCTAATAAAGTAGAATAGAATTTTTAATTATTACCGGAAAATAATAATTTTTTAATTAAAAAGTTATAAAAATAATAAAACTAAAGAAATTTAATTAGGAAAAGGTTAATATTATAAACTATACTTTTATTAGTAAGGGGTAGTTAATTATTTTAATTCTTTATTAAAATAAGGGTTAGGGTTAAAACTAAATTTCCGTTAATTAAAAAATTAATTAACTTTTTTAACGTTTTTAAAATCGCTATCGAAAGGTCTAATTATATAATATTAGTTTAATAAAGGTCGAAAAGTCGTAAGGTCCGGTATAGTATTCGGCTTTACGAGGTCGGGTTATCGACGAGGGTATCGACTTCGGTTTACTTAGTGATTTAAACGTTAAAAGAGCTTATAACCTATTGGGCTAGCGACCTAGGAAAGTCACTGGTTGCGAAAATAAGGCTAAAATAGCCAAAAAATGGTAAGCAAATTAGTATTACAGTAGTTGGTTATTGGTTAAAAAGTAAACAGTAAGAAAATCCAGCCCCAAGAGCAAACCGGTGTGGGTCTGGGAAAACCTGGGCCCTTTGGTGCCCCACATCGCCTGAGTTACGACATGGAACTGAATGTGATACGCACGTTTGGACTCGCCTTCTTGCTCAGCTAGCCACAAGTCCATGCTATCGAAGTCTTTGGTTGCCCAGGGGGTCATCGACTTGCCACCAGGAACACAGTAACATCATCTTGGGATACCAAAGGTACCATACTTAGGTACTATTCCTTGGCAGTGATGGTTGAGATCTAGCTAGATCTCGCACCGGACACCAAGAGGGCAAGTGTCTATAAAGAGGCCTTTCGCCGCCGTCCAAACTTCGTTCATCAGCTCTCCAGAACACATTCTGCTTTTCGTTCAAACATCTACTTTCGCCCACAACAACACATATCTGTTCATCATGCCGACTCAGTACATTGCAGAGGTCAACCAGTCCAAGGAGGACCGTGACAAGTTGCGCCAGAATGAGTACTTGCTTCAGGTCGCGAAAGCTGTTGCAACCGGGGGCAAGCCTGAGTTCAATGTTGTCTATGCCTCTAGGATCCTCGCCCCTCCCCCCCCCCCCCAACATGAACATTCAGTGGACGACGACATACGGACTCAACTGGGCCACCGACATGCCCTCCCCTGGCTCGATTGTCCCGTACAGCTGCACCTGGCAGAAGTGTGACCTGGGTTCTTCTTACACCCTCGACAAGGACGGCGATTGGTCTGCCAAGCAGGAAAATCCCAACGCAAAGCCCGACTCACTAAACTTTGCCTCCAATGACTACGCAGTTGCAGTTCATATCCTGGTTGGTGTTCAAGACCCAGCTTCCAAGAAGTGGACTCCGGTAGGTTTCTCATCGCCCGTCTTCAATGTTGCTTTCCAGATTTTCCATCTTTGCTGACAATTATGAAGATCTGGGTTGGCAAGAACATGCTCCTCAAGGGCGCCCACGGAGAATACCAACTCATTGAGACCGTCAACATTTGGTATCAGCAAGGCGATCAGACAGCGACCATGATTTCCACCAAGGCCACATCATTTCAGTCGTACGACATGCCGGGTGCGCGCCCCGTTTACTTTTCCTATGATGCCGTCAAAGGAAAATGGCGTACCCCTGATGACCAGCCGTTCGAGTTCCCTTGAGTGCCTAGGTGCGTGTATGGGATCCATGTGGTAATCTTGAAGAAGACAGCCAGGGGCAGTGGAGGAAGGACGACGGGAGAGATATGGTTAGGGGTACACGTATACAGTCTCGGTTTTGGAAAAAAAGGAACAATGAATTAGATAGATGCCAGCACCTGTGGCAACGACAATACAAGTCCCATCGATCCGTGTCTCGTTGAGCTATCCCCAACCTGAATATCTTGTTTTCCACACATACGCTTGTCCAAGAGACGGGACTTGTGCAAATGTACTTATCGACATCATGTGTCACCTTGTGGAACCCAGAAACAATGATTGAACCCCTTCCAGAGATGTCCAAAAAGCGCCCATCACAGCTATGACAAAGCCCCTCAATTCCATCCCGTACCCCAAGGCATGTACCAGCCATGCTGTTTTCAGTATCAAGAAACCAGTTGACCTTGGTACTGTAACTGGCAGTGAAATGCATTAATGCTGTTGCTCAGTCCGCAGCTCCAGTTTAAACTCCGGTCATCGATTTAGAGGAGCGAGCAAAGCATAGAATGCATTTCACTGTTACATCTTTCAGCCAGAAGGGTTGACTGGAAACATTATTTTGTACGGTTTCAAGAATAGGGGTATCTATCATGAAGTGAGAGTCTTCTCGCAATAAACATTAATAGTTGGATGTTCCAATGATTTTGTCATAACCACGATAAGATGTGCAAGGTCTAAACAGCCCGGATTGCACCGTCCGCTGGACCCTCACCCGTCTCCTGTCGCCGTGGGGAAGCAGGCGTCTGCTGGGCTGAACTTATGGTCGGCCCAATAACCACAGTACCAGAACCCAGCACAAGCCCAAGTACCGCATTTGGGTTCCCCAAGACCGGCCCCCAAGTAGCAGCTGTCGTCCCACTATTCATCGAATGCCCATCACGGACACTCGAGGGAGGAGGACCGGGATAAACAGGCAAAGGCGTGTCATCGTGTTCCGCCCGGGTGGTACCTCCAGTTCCAGTACCACCACCACCACCACTACCGCCACCGATTCCCATCTCAATACTCTCCCCTACACTAACCGGCTTTCGAGCCCCTAACCAGCGCTCGGGATACTTGAGCCGAAACCCCCACTGAAGCCACAACTTTATCTTCATCCAAAACGGCATCCTCTTCCACTGCTCCCTTAGTTGCTCCTGCTCATCTGCATTCCTCTCGACTTCATATTTGGTGACAAAGATCATGAGCAGCGTGGCAATCAGCCACCAGCACACCGTGCCGCACCGAAGAGCCCGATGGCCTTGCATCAGGCTCCTGAACCACAGGAAATTCTCGATGAAGCCTAGAACAAAGAGGGTCCCGACGATGGCGAGGATGATGGCGGGCCCTTCTGGGATTTTGCTGCAGCGTCCGAAGCCTTGTGGGGACATTTTTGTTTTGCCTCTGCTCCAAATGGGTTGGGGCGCGGATCCTTTTCTCCTGGGAGAAAGCAGTTCTCAATGTAGCGGTAGTTGATTTGATCGTATCGGTAGTAATCCGCCGGCGGTCTGCGCGCTGGAGGAAGGTCCGTCGCTTTCACATGCAGTGTCGTGTATGTGTAGTACGAAGTTTGTTGCACCCAACGATGGGTGCTGCTATCGGTTGTGGTGACAAATCTGGTGTATGTGACGACATCTGTTTCGACGCTGGCCATGGAGTGGAGGATCTCGCTGAGCGGCGTCGGAACAGACGCGGAGGTGCTGAGGTTGACCTCGGTGGTGTATTCGAAGGGGGTCGGGCAGCTGGTTGGCGCGGTGATTGTATAGTCGACAAGCCATTGAGGGCCCTCCCCACGCGAGTCGGGATCTGGGTCCCACCGCCAGGTATACAGGTCCGAGGTGGGAACCGCGTCGGCGGGATAATAGTACTCCACAACCTCCAAATCCCAGGAAGTGAGACTCGCTGTTGTGGTTGATATTGGCGTTACGTCTGGGAGTGAGGTGGTACGTGCCACTAACCGTGTTACGGTCGTTGTTCCGGTGCATGATAGACCCGTCACACCAGCTGGGTCGCAGCTCAATGGCTCAGGTTCTGGGTCATCGACGAATATCTGCGTCGCGGTCCAGAAACTCGCCGCTGCTATCTGACATAGGCCGGCTGATGCCAACAACCGGGCTATTAGGTGTATTCGTGCCATGGTGAAATGTTGGTAATCAAAGCCCTGAGACCAGGAATGAAGGGCTACGACGATTTCAATCGAAGGTGGCCTTCTGGCACATCTAAGATCAACACCTCAACCGACAACCCAACCAACGATTGTCAGCTCAGTCCTCTTATGGGACCTTGGCAAGGTGATTATGGGGACGAGCTCAAGGGCTTGTTCTCGGCACAAAGCTTGGTAGCATCGCAGGAGAAGCGAAATGAGGGAGCCAATCTGACACTATCACCCAATTTCTATGGAGACGAGATAGTACCGCAGCCAGAGAGAACACATGTCGTTGCCAAGTTAGCCTTGCCAAATCAAGTTAGAATATCGAGGCATTCTGTTGCTCTCTATCCAATGAACAAACTGGAGATGTCCTGCACGGTTCTTGTGTTTCCATAGCGTGGGAGCATGCTGGCACACTGCCAGCACTGCGCCACAGAAGAAGCTTGGTTCAACCCTAACCCTCTGTTCGACAATTATCCCTGAACCCCTTAAACAATAAGAACAGCACCCATGTCTGACCTCGAATATTTGATCTCAGTCTCTTTGATTATGTACCCCATCACCACAGAATAGCGATTTTTCCTATCCGATCAAAGGCCTACTCTTCCTTGGCAGCGTGACCTTGAACACCAAGGCCTGTTGGTCCAGGCTGCACCCACTCGCGTCTTTGTATGGGATCTTGCCGTTGTTGATGAATCCTGAAACAGTTGTCAGCAGTGTATTATGCATCCCTCTATTGTCAAAAACGCTTACCATTCTGCGTGATAAAGTCATTATCAGAGATGACAATCAAGAAGTACTCGTCCTTCTTGCCATCGTCCACCGGAACCAACACCAAGCTCTCCCACTTCTCATTCAAAAGGCTGTTCATCGGCAACGCTGGGGGCCCGTTCCTCAGCCCAAACTTGTTCAGCCTAGAATTGATGTTGAAGTCGATCCACGGGCAAAGTGTCGCGGGTGTTATCTCTGGCTTCAACACACCATCTGCTCTCGTCAGGGTCGGGCTATCCTTCGTATCACAAGTCAAATCACATACCTTCACTCGCAATCGAAGCATTAAACAAATCATACCTCCTCCCCTTCACATCCGTCGCCCTCCCAATATCAACCACGTCCACATGCCTGTACAAACTCGTCGGGCTATCAGTGCAAGCACCAACCCCGCTATCCCTCGGCAGCACAAGCAGCTGCTCGTCACTGACATACTTGATCTCACTCTGCGCCGCCACCCTCGTCCTCCCTTGCCCATCAGTAAACGTAGGCAAAGGCACAACCCACTCCCCGGAGTACTTCACCTTCTTGCCTTTCCCCTTGCTAACATCATACCTCAATAACCGGGTATACCTCCTCGTAGCAGCATTCCCGCCCCCTTCCAGCCTCCCCGCACTCTGCAGCATGACCCAGAGTTGTTTCCCATCTGAACTGGCGGTTAACCCCTCAAAACCCTGGTTGTTTGACCTACCCTGACTGGGGTTGGTAGGAATGGGTCGTTTGCCGCTGTCGAAAATAGGGGCGTTGTCACTGCTGAAACTGAGGGTGCCATTCCTCAGTGGGAGGAGAGCATCAGGTGGGGCGATGGCGGATAGGAGTTTTCCGCTGGGGGAGAAGAGGTAGATGTACGGGCCGTACTCGTCGCTTATCCAGAAGGTGCCATCATCATTCAACACCAAGCCTTCGGCGTCAATAGCGATGCGTTTTCCTCCTGGACCGGGGCCACCAAACCCATCACCGGGATAGGTCGATGCTGGGAGGGGGGGAAAGCCAGGGAGGGTGGTGATACTGTCTGGGTCGAGACCAGTGAGGGGTTCACCGCTGGGAGAGGTAAGAAGGATGGTGGCTTTGTATTTGAAGAGGAGGTTTGGTGGGAGGGGCGGGGATTGAGATGCCGCGGCTGGGGTGAAAGTCACATCAAAGGTGTGGACGCGAGGGATGGTGTTTTGGGTGCCTTGGGTGTTCCAGCCTCTGTCGGGGAGGCCGTAGAGCGTGCCGGTGTAGTAGGTTTGTTTGTTTTTGCCACCGGCAGATCGCTTTTTCCAGTTGGTGATCGCGGCTGAGGAGCCGATGCTGATTGTGTCGCCGAATTTGTCTCTCGCGTCAGAGGGGATGGAACCGAAACCGGCGAGTTCGTTGTATGTATAGGATTTTCCCTGGCACGTTGTCGTGGAGACGGGAGCAGGAGATGGCTGAGGGTGTGAGAGCACGGTGCTCGTCAACAAGGCAAGGACGCCTAGGCTGCTGAGGAAGACCATGACTCTGGTGGGGGTGCGCAGCTGTTTGTGACGGTGAGGAAGCTTGCACTCCTCCGGGAGGGCATATTCAACTTATGACCTCGGCCAGGGCACGTGGGCATCTTTCAGCTCATGCAAGCTGAGGAATAGAATGATGGAGGAACGGTGTGACTGTAACACTGGATTCTGTCACTTACCCACGTGCTCATTGGCATTGAGATATAGCAGTGAGCTGAGGAAAGTGGTGGGGGAGATCGTCAGGAACATGTGGGTGTTTTCGCCTCCGTGATTGGACGGTGGCGACAACCGATAACGCCAAGCCATGTGACATTTGTTGACACCATACATAGCTGCATGTAAACCAATGTAGATGAAAATGTTCCAACCTCCTCTCCTGATTTCTGTTACTTGCTCATGCCCCTTCCCAAGTCATGATTTCCTGCCCTCGCTCTAGCGTTGTAAGCCCTTCCCTTCCTCATCCAGGCCATGGAGATCATGAAGATACTCTTTGAACTCCCTTGTCATTTGGCAAACTTGCCCAAAGTCCTTCTGATCCAAAGTTGGGCCATCATGCTCCTTCTTGTCAGTCTTTTGCAGGAATCGGAAGTCTGCCAGAGCGACGGCAGTTTGGAATGCTGCGCACCAAAAGCTTCGTCAGTACATCGCCACGTGGACTTGATTAACTGGTCTTACCATTGCGATTTTCCCGGCCGTTCCATTCCAGCCTCTTTACGATCTCATCTTCCAAGATGTATCGTTTGGCTCGCCCAGTGCTGATGAAGTCGTGACGCTCGTTGGTGAGTTTGTCGACGAACTGTGTCCAAATCTGGCGGCGATTGTCTTCACTGAGCTGATAGTACTTGATGATGTGGATCCTGGAAATGAAGGCGTCGTCGAAATGCCCGACGCGGTTTGTAGTCAAGAACAGGATTTCTCGGTAATATTCTATACAACGAAGAAACACTGTACATTCAGGGTCAGTATTACTGGTGTACTCAGATGAGGATGCTGACGCAGAATCTCACCAGATACAAGGCTGTTGCGCCGAAGGTCACTAACAACGCGCCGTTCCAGGTAGATATCAGCCTCGTCAATCAACATGACAGGCCCCATTTTTCGGCCATTCTGAACCACTTGGAGAGCTGCTGTTCCATCTTGACTTCGTCTGTGCCAATGTCTTCACAGGTGAGAGATAGTAGAGGACGGTTCGTATACTCCGCGATACATTCGGCGGTCTGATGAGGGGCAGAACTGTTAATCGTGCACGGTTAAGAATAAATGTATGCCGACCTACATATGTCTTCCCAACACCGGGACCGCCATGTAGCAAGAAGATATGACCCTCTCCATTGTTTTCAATAAAGTCGGCGCGCCACGATGTAGATAAGCCTGGTGTTGGGCTCATGTTGCTGTACTTCTGAACCAATGCCTTGATCATATCTTTGCGTGGCGCAGGCATGACTAACATGTCAATAGCCCTCGGATTGAGTTTAGGCTCCAAGCAATAGGCTACAATATGGACGCCTTGAATGGTAACAACAAATTAGTAAGCCTTGTAGTTATCAGAGAGTCCTCTATGTGTAGGTAGGGAGTTAAGGGATCTTAGCACCTACCCCAAGTTCTGGACTTCAAGAATATTCCATAGAGAAGAGAGTCACACAGTAGATATCGATGATTGGAATCATGCGCCCCGGACTCCAGTGTAAGATTCTCCACCATTGTTGGATCCAGCAAATCGTAGGATGCGTACCGAAAGTTAGCTGGGGGATGGGGCCGTCTGCCATAACTGCGATCGGGGTTAGTCAGGCATATTCATCCCGAGTAAATGCGCTGGCCCTGCACCCAGTCTAAGGGTTTGTCTCACCACTCTTCACACCCGCACATCGCCAAATTGCGTCCGATATCATTGACGTTGCAGATTTCGGGTGCTTTCTCTTCGAACTCGTAGTAGTAGGCTGCAGAATCGACGTACACTCGACCGCTAAGCTGATAGTTGCAGTCAGATACGTGTCAGAAGGCCATACTCCCGGGTACATGAGTGAAGCCAAAATACTATCAATGGTGCTTTGGAGGAGATGGACATACCAAACCCGCTTTCCTGGCTTTGCGTATATTGGGCTTGTGACTAGCAGCATCCTCAGAGTCCATACTTTCCTCACTTGCCTTCCTCCTAACAACGTGTCTGTTTTGGAGAACAAGTGCCGCCCGGTCAGACGGGTCGCATTGATAGAAGGCCGGCTGACTACGTAAGAGTTTGAACCATTGCCTCCCCTGCGCTTCCAATCTCGCTTTGGTCTCGCCACCGTCTTTCTTGTCGAAAAGTTCGGTTGGGAAAACCTTCAGTGATGTGATTTCACGTTCTTCCCGGAATGGTGGCACAACAACTGACGTCGTGCTCCTTCCAACAAATCTGCCATCAAACCTTAACGACCACAATAGGATCTGATGCGGCCCAAAGTCTCGACGGTTGTCCGAAAGAATGGCGGTGTCATGAACCATGGCATGGACCACATGGGCAGCGAGTTTACCTCCCGATTCCACGTATACTGTCGTGCCCGGCCTGAAGAGAAGCCATAGCATCTGGAAAGTACACATATTCCTCCGATGCAGCTCCTGTTCGGTCTCGATCCTTCCTTTGTATACCTTTGTCTTGAGATAGTTATGAAGCAGTTCCAGATGCTCGGCGGTTGTTTCAACCAAGGGGTCATCCGGGTTAGCGTTCTCGTCCGGTTTGACTTCACCCTTGTGGTGACTGGTTTTGCATCGTTCATGGAGTGCTTCAAGCTCGCTCATGTGGTGACCTAGGATAGTGTAAGGTTCGTTTAGTGACAAGACTTTATGGTCAAGATCAACGAAAGGGTAGTATGAGACTACCGAGCGTAGAGCGCTGAGGGCTTTTGACTCGATAATGATTCTCATGGTATGCACGTGTACAGCGATGTTTTCGTCGGTGAGTATTCCGGCTACTTTGTCGGCTCGGGTATCATCGCTGAGAAATCGGAAATTCTCTGGTGCGTGTGATGTCTGGAGAACAGTGACAACACTAAAAACAGAAGTTTGATGCTTTGAGACACCCTTACGGGCCGCCGAGAGATCAAATGGTGTTGCATATCGCTGTTTGCCAATGTACTGACCCTTTGTGTCGAGGTATTCCACGGAGTAGGATATTTTTGGCTGCTAGGTATCTTCGTCTTCGCCTGACTCTTGTTCTGTTCTCGGAAGAGGAATATGGGGTGTTTCTCCGCGCGTTCGAATATCGAGGCAACCGATGCAATGGCATCGTGGGTTGAATTTGCGCTTGGCTTCCTTGTCACGCTCCTTCGCACCCTTCTCAACTTTCTGTTATCCTGGGGCTTGATACGTCGGGTTGTCCCACATAGACATCCCACACCGTGGACAACGAGGGAGCCCAAAATCTTGAAGATGTCCGTGAGACCGACCGTTCACCACACAGTACAGGGGAACTTTTGACGTCCATTTTCCCTTCTCCTCTGCGTTCATTGTCGATGGGGCTGTTTGATCATCGCTGGTATGTTGTTTGGGTTAGAAGATACTTGATCATCGACCTCTGTGGTTGACGTCTGTGGATCGATAGGTTCTTTAGTCGTCTTCTCACTTGGGGATTTATCAGTGGGTGATACTGGCTGCCGCGCGACGGGATGGCGGGCTACGGCTTGCAAAGAGGCCATCGAGAAGAATTGACGGTCACACGTGGAGATCAACAAAGATTCAACTGGGGAACGAGAGTGAAGGACAGGACCGGGAGGCACGCGGGGTAGGAAAGAATACCCTCGCAATTACCCCTCACTGATGACACGGTCACACACAGGTCGGCTTTATGATTGTGCCTTTCGGATGCATTTTTAAGCGGCTCAAGAGTGACAACTCAGGCAGCACCATGCCCGTGGCTCTTTTGGATTTTTAGATTCCCACTGCTGCCCCACACCCTTCATCCCCATGTCAACAACTGGAAGGTCCATGGAGCAATAGCATAGGTGTTTTCTTGGACCATGGCGTCATTTAGACCAGCAGATCCTAGGACTACCACAGCAGCAGTTCGATCCTACAGTCTCAAAGTCGAAAAAGAAAGGCCAGAAGATTCTTTATCCCAAGCACTCGGTGCCACGGTTCAGCAGGCAGACCATCAACAAAGTATTCAACGTGTCAAAGCACATGAGTGGGTTAGTTGGCTCCAGAATGACTGCTCTAGGTATGTGAGCACATAAGGATATGCTAACCGTGCATCGATGTGTTCATACGTCTGAATTCACTAAATGTCCATACCAGTGATCCGATTTTTGATCCCTTAGAGCAACAGCGCAAAGAGTTGATTCGAGTCTGGCAAGAGTTTCAAAGACTCTTCGTCCCTCCAGGAGACGTAATATCCGGGACCACTCACTCGTCACTTCCTAGCATTGCAACATTGCAAGCGGCAGTCAATGACACCCGTGTTTGATGGGAGGCCAAGCATGAGACTGGCATTGGCCTCGCCAGGAATCGGTTCCTCCGCTTCATGGAGACAATGGATGATCACTCATTCTTATTCAAGTTTGTTCCGACAGAGGACAAGTACATCAGCCTCCTCACCGGAGTCGTGACATCGGTTGTCAAGGTATCTTACCCAGCACCACCCTCCATCGTAAAAAAGCACCTCGTTTTCCTCTATCCTGTCTAGTTGACGCTAATGTGTTGGTCAGGCCTCAGTGAACTACCAGAAAATTGCCGAGGGATTCTCACTTGCACTTGTGGAAATAAGTGAGAACCTGAGATTGGTGCAGAAGAAAACACAAGTGGCAAACACAAAAGAAATGCAGAGGCTTGTCGTGGCACTGTATGTTCAGGTCTTCATATTTCTTTGTCACGCCATGTCTTTTCTCCATAAACGGCACAAGAGATTTCTGGCCTCATTCAACAAAGGATTTTATGACAAGACGGTAAAAGCCACGGTTGATGGTATCCAAAAGACAATCGGCGACATCCGCAACGAGGCGCAACACACCACTGAGCTCCGCATTGAGCACATGCATCAAAAGATGAACGACCTGGAGCCAATTTTGGCCAGGCTGCAACAGCTTGGAATCCAGACTCACGCGGACACACAGCAGCAGGTCAATGCGAAAGTTGCCGCAGCAGCACAGGGCTTTCAGAGACTGGGTGAGAATGCTGTGCATCAGCTCGAAGGTGTCGATGATCAGGTCACACACGGTAAGTTGGCCATTCTCTTTCATCCTAAACCCACAAATGGGCCGCAGGGCCTTGAGTGTGCCGCGGGGCCTCGAATCACTGTTGTCACAAAGAGTGTCGGTCCACTTTTGAGTTACCACCTCCATTGTGTCCTGATTTCCACCTGTCTAGGTAATGCTGCGTGTGGTATCCCACAACGGCGCCTTTGCTGCTGCAACTAATTCAACGAGTTCCAACGTCACAGACATCACTACGCAGTCTCCACAGCAAAGCTCACACACCCTGCCCACTTTGACAGTTAACGAGTCAGCCAACAAGCCAGCCACGGCGAAACTTCCCAAAACAGGACAATCAACAAACCCTACGGAGGGTAAGACAGCCAGCCATGATATCTATATCAGCACTTGCACAACTTAACTAACATCATCGTGGCCTGCAGAGACCACAATGTCCGACTGTTCGCGAATCCAACAATACGCCGAAGCCCTCAGACCATTTATCGAGAGTGACGAAGACTTCCACAGAGCCCACCAAGAGCCAACCATGATCCCGCAAGAGGTCTATGAGCGGCTCAGCAGATGGATATCTGATTCTGCCTCCAAGATAATGTGGGTAGAAGGCCCGGCGTTTTCCCCTGGCAGCACCGCGCTTTCCAAGGCGGCCTTGGAAGCCACCGACAAAGTCTTGAGCGCTGGCATTCCTTGCATTTCATACTTTTGCAAGTCCCGCTCCAGCTTTGCCAGGAGTAACGCCGGCGGCAGTGGCGGCGGAAGTGGCAGCACACCAAGATTACGCCACAGAGATGACGCAGTCATATCTCTCTGCTACTCCATGATCCGCCAACTCGCCTATGTTCTTCCCCTGGAAGGGTTCAAAGCAGACAAAGCCCTCGACGCTAACCAATTCGAAAAGCTGGATGGAACTCTCCACAGCCTTCCCACCGCGTTGAACATCATGAACGCGCTGTTTGAATACGCACCGCCCGTGATCTGTTTTGTCATCGACGGGCTTCAGGATGCAGGAGACAGGGACAGCATCAAGTACCTCTGGAATTTCATAATCCTATTGCGTGAGCAAATGAAGGATTCCAGTCGGGTATGCAAGATCTTGTTCACGACTGATGGGCGGAGTGAAGTGCTGGATCGTGGCACAGAGGTGCGGGAGAGGGTGGATGCATCTAGGCCGGTGCAAGCCAGGGGAGGAAGATCATTCCCGGGTGGTGTTTACATCTAGGCTATCAAGACGTCAAAGAGCAGGACTCTTCTTTTATCGTTCGTTCTTTTTTATAGTTTGAGCTTCATCCCAGCATCAAGCATATTTACCCCGCCTTCGGATAGATCTTGTCCCAACTTAAAATAGGCATTATCCCAGCGTAAGACCAATATTCCCAGCTTTAAAAAGACAGTATCCCAGCTTGAAACCAATATTTCCAGCAATAAAAAGACATTATCCAGCTTAAAAAAGATATTATCCCAGCTTATGATTAATTATCCTAGCTCCAAAGGGCATGATTCTTCTTTCGTTCCTTCGTTTTGGTCTAGTTTTTATCCCAATATCCGCCATACTTTACCCCAGCTTAGGATAGACATTATCCCAACTTACCCAAGAATAACATCATCAGTCTAACTTCTCTTTACCCTTTGCCGCAATTATTCTCCAAAACTTATTTCTCATCTAATTCATTTAATTCACAAATGTATTTATCGCATCATCCCAGCTTGAAAATCACAATTATCCCAGTTTGAAAATCAACCTCATTTAAACTTTGCAGTATTCTCCAGTACAAGAGCACATTACCTCTGTTAAGAAGGACATTATCGCACTTTAAAAGGACCATGTTTTATCCGAACTTGGTTGATGATCCTCAGCTGCTTCAGTCTACATGCCCGTGTGAGACGAATCTGCATAAGATAATGGAAAAACAAATGCGGAAACTCGTACCCTAACCATACGAGCCTACCAGTAGGCAGGGTGCCAATGGTGTAGCCGGGAATATGGCTAGTCTGCTCTAAGCTGACATCAGTCAGCGTCCGCGCATCAAGCAAGGATGATTACATACGCAGTAGGATTAGGAGCGGTGAACACTACCCCTCAAAGCCATTATACGATACGGTATCATCAACGCACTCAATACAACAGGCGTGATTCATTTGTCAGCAGCTAGAGCTACATCAACGTTGGTCTTCGACATTTGGGGTTGAATTTGACCTCTACGAGCCTCCGCTGTTGGTAGTGCTGACAGGAAACAATGATTTCGAAGGGGTAAAATTACACGAGAACGGGGCTAGAAGAAGTAAAATACAAAGTTGCGACTCGCTTAGGGGATCGTCACTGATGAAATACTGATCACAGACTTCAACCTTCCTAAAAAGGTACCATTCCCAAAGGCAGCTTGAAACCCTGAGCATTGTGAACGCAAATATAAAGCACATTAAGTATAAAGCACATTGCCTCACCGACTTTTGTCTGGCTTCATCACTCTCTCCATCGACATCCTCCACAACCCTGTCTCCTCAGCCTTCAACAAAAAGCCTCCCTCGCCAAAATGGTCAGCGCCAAGTACCTCCTCCTCGCACCTACCAGCTGCCTCACCGTTACCGCCAACGGCAGCGTCTGGTGGCATACTTGCGGGTTAGTGTCATCTTATTCTATGACCTCATCAAGAATGCCTCTACTAACAGTGTTCTTAGCAACTGCAAGTGTCCCCACACTGGCTCTTACGAGGGTTTCAGTGGTACCAGCCCCTGCATCAGGCTCGACAGCTCCATCCGCTCGATCGGGCTCACCCACGTCGGCACCAAGTCGACCACTTGCAGCATCTTCTCTGACAACAAGCTGCCAAGACCAGAGGCAGAGCGTAGGCTCCAGTGGGACGTACGCTTGCACGGCGTTCAACCAGAACTCGGGGAGCATGAGGTGCTACTACAATGTCTAAGCGCTCGAACCTGGGGTTGGAAGGTCAACTGAGAGGGCATAGATTCATGACACGATGTATCTGTGGGATGGTAGATTCGTGAGACAATTGTTGGTGGGAGACTGGGTCATCTTGTCCATAAGTCGACTCCTTGTGGCGATGCTTTATGGGCAAACATTGAGGTTCAGCAGTCATCGGACAGAAGCATCGTATACTGGTGTCGATATTCCTCTTCCTCTAGTAACTCTAGACTCTCCAAGACCTTCAGAAACTTCGCCTATCTTGCAGATTCCAATTGTTGTGATCGATTCCCATGCCAACCCCCCTAGTTACTCGTCTTAACCCATGAACCGAGTGATCCTTTGGGGCCACTGGCAACTCCCAATGGTCGTGTTCGACGCTGACTTCGACTCTTTGCACCGACATCCGCGCACTGTCCCTCACTGTGTTGTTTGCTAGTCCTGATGGTTCCCAGTAACCACAAAGCCTATCAAATTCCGGGTTGTAAATTGGCATCTCCATGATTGGAGATTTGCTGGAATGTTTTAGAGGCAGCGGCCACTGGGCGGTCTTGTTTTTTTCTTTCTTGGCTTTCTTGTGATGATGGATCATCCAAATCACCAGAGAGACTATGATAGCCAGAGCAAGCATTCCCCCGGCTCCGGCTCCTGCGATAGCCCCGACTGGAGTTTGAGTCGTTGAGAAATCTTGTCGTGAGTCCGCTTGCTCTGTGCCATTGGGGATGTCTGGTAGCTTGCTAGGCGCGCTCCCTGGAGGTTCAGCGTCCGTATCTGTCACAAACAGGGTCCTCACCTGCTCGGAAGACCAGACAACCTTGTCCATACTTCTACACGTAGGACAGCATTAGCCTCTTCTCGCGATGGAACCAGTATTGCCTTTTGGAGATGACATGTAACTTGAAACTAACCCGTTCTGATACCACTCGTCCAGACTTTTAGCCCGAACATAATTCTTGGCTTTGGCGTCATAGTTATCGTTCCAGGTTTGGGCAGTCATGTCAAAGAGTAGTAAGCCTTGTGGAGCTGCATCCACGGACTTGATTTTATCAGTGACGCCGCCGATACTGAGCACCTGATTTCCCATAGAGACACACGCACTGGAATAATTGAACTGTCAGTGCGGATTCATGGTGAATATTATTGTAAAGACCGACTGGAAGAATCGCGGCCCTGCCGGAGGAGTTGGAACCAGGGTCCACACGAAGCCTGGCAGGCTGAGAATGTAGGCATCATCGTAGTAGCTCTGCTGCGCTTCGTTCCGTCCTCCAAATATAAAGCTGTTAAACCATCAACGACTGTGTTACCAAAGTATTCTGGTTATTTGGCAGAATTTAAACTTACACATCATAACCAACCCCTGCTATAGCGAAGCCGGTGACGCAAAAGTGAGCCCGGGGATAAGGCGGTATATCTCCTGTGGCAATTTGCCAATATCTTTCTCCTGTTTCCGGGTCGAAGAATGACAAGTTCCTAAAATCGAAGCCAGGCGAGTCTTCGAGGCTGACCTGTCGGTCGACATAAGACCTGTGGCCCCCCAAGACCAGTATCAACCCCTGCTGGCTTTTCGTGCCAGTGTTAGCCGGGATGAAGTGAGCCCTCGCCCCAATAAGTGTCTCGAATGGGCTTCTGTTGGAGCCCGCATCGTTGGCTGTGCCATTGCTGATCTCCTTAGTTCGCATGTCAAATGAGACCATGCCTGGGATGGCCTGAGTGTCTGTGAAGCCCAGTTGTGTCCCACCCCAAACGGAACCTCCAATTAGAAAGCCTTTGTCGTCCGTGTTAGCATAAGCTCCCCTCTCTGGTGATAACAAAATTTTAAAGGCCTCCGGATTTGCAAAATCCTGGAAAAGTGACCAGCTCCCTCCCCCTCTGCCATCTGCGCTGAACTTCCACATCTCGGACCCGGTCACAGATCTTCCCAATGAGAAAACACCACCCCAAGAGTAGAATCCGCCCGTTCCTTCCTTGTCTGTCCATATCATCGGCGCGTTTCTAGGAGCGTTGGGCTTCCCTATCGTCCGGATAGAGACATCGCTTGTAGTCCAAGAGATGGAGATGTCAATGGACAGTGTTGAGTTCACTAGGATTGAATATTGAGATTAGACTGGTATTCCCGTCACCTGCTGGGCGAACAGTTGAGGCACATGGGGAGCTACCTTGGTAAACTGGAGCCTCGTCTATTGTCCCGTTCTCGAACTGATTGATCTCACCCCCGTCGATGTAGACGTAATCACCAATCACTGTGGCGGCGACGTTCCATCTCCTGACGAAATCTTCAACTCGAGGTACATCAAGTCGTACTCCTTGGACTGCCGCTGGGATGGCTATCAAAACGAACCCAAATAAAGAAGCCAAACGAGCGGGAAACATGTTATCAAACGGCAAAAGTGAAAGAACAAGCAACAGAAGACCGCAAGTAGATGCAAATGAAGGTAAGACAACAAAGTGTTGTGGGTTTCAATTTCCTCATAATAATAGAGGGGTCTAGCCCACCTGAAAAGGGTCAGAGCTTCGAGATAGGGGCAAGTGAACTGCCGCCTAGCCATGGGGGCCATTTGAAGAGTTGACCGTCCAGGTTGGGTCTGCCTAGGCCGGCCATTCCAGTTTGCGTCTCATTAATATGGCCAATCATGGCGTGGACCACATCGACGTAACATCAATCTGTGGCTGTATCAATGAATGTCGGAAATATAATTCATGTCGCTGGTGTTGCATTGTTGCGGTTTACAGTGCTCGGGTTTGGAACCAATCAACCCTTTCTTCGCCCCTTATTTTCCATTCAGACCCATCAAACCTAGGCCTCCAGGGAGTTTGAATGCCCCATGAACCAGGTAGATATCTTCCGTTATTTGGTTTTTAACCGCCCGGCCACCGTGCAGGTTGTACGCTTCTCTCTGTTCGGTATCACCAGCCCGGACACCCTGAGACAACGAGGATGAGGCCACCCCAGTACTGTCACCAGGTGAATTTGCCCAATTACCTACGCTAGAAACTATGAGTACTGATCTTGGAATGCAACCGTGTAACAAGAACTAGTTTCAACGTGGAATATCTCCGAGAGGCGAGCCGACCGCGAGCAAACACGAGATGCGGGATAACTGTTGGCTAGCGTACCAACTCCAAGACATGAGTGGCACAGCATCCGAGACAATGTAACAGCGTCTTGAAGCCAGCCATGTTGATGGTATATGACGTCAGCGGGAGTATGATAAAAAAATATCGTTTCTGTGAACTAGGTCTCTTTTGCATTGTGGATGGGTCGCTTTGCGCAACGCCAAAGAGACGGACAGAACAAAAATCACACCAGGCGGAGAAGCGCTACTCAAAGAAGCCACGACTCCAAGAAGGGTGGACGGAGTCGGGCATTTCGCAGTTGAAGATGGATTTTGGCCCGGAAGTCTGTGCTTGGCTGGAAAGTGCTGTTGAATAGCGCAAAACTTAAAAAAGTGTCGTGGCTGCTGTCAAAAGGCGCAGCGCTTTGACTGGCGTGGGAAATGGCAAATTCTTTCCTTGGTCTCGGCCCGGACTCCAGGACTTGGTCAGTTGCCGCGCTCCGGGGCCGTTGAGACATGTGGTGCTGTGATGCTACAGAATTTGCATCAAGGTCGTGGTTGTGGTAATCTTCGGTGTGGCTCAATGAAGGCTTAACCTACCTAAACATGGCCGTCTGAGTGTGCTCAAAAAACACGACCAAATGGGCGTAAACGCCCATCCCTCAACAACTGGTGACTCGGATGGTGTGAATCACCACCTATGGGCATCAATCCTGAGCGCTTCGAAACTTCAATTATGCAGTGTATTCGGCCTGCATACGAGCGCGGGAATGGTGTGGCCCCCAAACCCCGGAATCTCCGGCCTTGATACAGGGATCGTTTATAAGCGGCTTATGAATACACAGCTCCTGTGAACTCGGCGACCGAAGAATATTCCGAGCGGGTGCTTTTCTATCTTATCTCAATCCTTCCATATCTGATTCATAACCGAGGAGCCTCGCCTTGGCTTCTTGGCCTTTCTCTCCTGCCAGGGACATATTTTGTTTACTTCTCCAGAATGGCTGTCCGATTATACCCGGGGGGTGACGTGAAAGCCAACCTCACAGACAGCGAAAGCCTCAGAACCCCATCCCTAGTTCGTGGCGAGACCAAGTCGCCATCATCACCACCGCCACCCCACCAACAACCACCTGCACCTCCAAGACCGGGTCATGATGACTTCCCAGAAGGCGGCGCCCGCGCCTGGCTGACTGTCAGCGGTGCATCAGCCTGTCTGTTTGTCTCGTTTGGCTGGGTCAACTGCGCTGGTATTTTCCAGTCGCATTACCAGGCCAATCAGCTCAGCAACTACACACCATCGGAGATCTCATGGATTTCCGCGCTGCAGATATTTTTCATGATATTTTCTGGAATCTGGGTGGGGAGAATCTTTGACAGCCATGGCCCAGCGGCTTTGCTTTTTGTGGGGAGTTTTATGCATGTGTTTGGGATGATGATGATCAGTTTGTCGACGACGTATTATCAGATTCTTCTCAGTCAGGCAATATGCTCGGCGGTTGGGGCGTCGATGGTGTTTTTCCCCGCTTTTACTTGTGTGAGTCGCCAGCACCTCCCGAGATGTTTATGCAATCATCACCAACTGACACCTACCTCAGGTCTCGACATGGTTTCTTAAGAAACGCGGTGCAGCAATGGGTCTTGTCGTCTGTGGCTCCTCCATCGGCGGTGTCATCTTCCCTGTCATGTTGATCAACCTCATCCCCAAAGTCGGATTCCCCTGGGCAATCAGAACATGCGCCTTTCTCGTCCTAGCCCTCCTCATCTGGGCCAATTTCACAGTCCGTACGCGCATCCCACCGGTGAAGCGTCCCTTTGAGTTCACGGCCTTCCTCGCACCTTTGAGAGAGCTGCCATTTGCTTTATTGACTGCCGGAATTTTCTTCTTTTATTGGGGCATGTTTGTCCCGTTCACCTTCATTGTTGTTGAAGCACTTGCGGGTGGCATGTCAGAAAATCTCGCCAACTATCTTGTGCCCATTTTGAATGGTGCTAGGTTCGTACCCTCCTCCATCCACTGAACAGTTGCAATATGCCAACATTTCCCAGCATCATCGGCCGAACAATACCCAACGCCATGGCGGACAAGCTTGGCCATTTCAACGTCATGATTGTCATGGCGGCCTTCACCAGCATTCTCATCCTCGCTGTATGGTTACCCTCCTCAGGCGACGCGGCCATCATCACGTTTGCCGTGCTGTTTGGCATCGGTTCAGGTGCTGGCATTGGTCTTACTCCCGTGTTGATTGCTTCCATATCCCCCATCCAACAGATCGGTGCCCGCACCGGCACAGCTTTCAGCATTGCTTCGATTGCGGCGTTGACTGGGTCGCCAATCGGTGGTGCTATCCTGACATCTGCAAACGGCGCGTTTCAAAGCACAAAGATTTTCGGTGGTGTTGCCTGTGCCGTGGGTACTTTGCTGTTTATTGCTGCACGGGTTGCTTTGGTGGGCGTAAAGCCCAAGAAGTTCTAATGAGATGATCTTTTCTTTATCAGTGACGATATTTGGGAAGAAAACTCTTTTCAGTGTATTATATACTTTGTTTAGACTCGTTTAATAATGACGTCTGAAAACAGTTTCTATCATGCACTTGCCATTTGTCCTCACATAAGTTGTCCAGGAGTAAGTCCACCTCACGTTCCAAACTCAGAGAACAACAATATGACCACGGTCAATGTCCCGGTGCCTCCAGCCGGGCGTATCTCCCAAGAAAGCCAGCTGGAATATCTCAAGAAGGAACAGGCCTGTTTCCTGCAAGCTATGACAGTCCACGGTATTTGCGGAAGGGACCATGGAAGGTGTCTGGTTGTTGTGATCCTCAGTGTCCCACAAGGGTTGGAGCAGGAGAACCACAGAGTTCTTGGAGCAGGTTATCAGGGAGACAGCAAGGCTTCACATGATCTGGATCTGGCCAATTGTCCGTGTAGGCATACCAGAGGATACGATTACAAAAACGAAATTCATTTGAGAGCACGCTTCACCTACTTCCTGAACGGCCACCTTCTCACCCAGCGCATGTTTCTCCTGATGTCGCCTCCTTCCTATCCTCCCTACGAGCTTTCCCAGCTGAATTGCCAGTGACAATGACCTCATACAGTGTTGATCTAGAGCCCTGGACGAAAGTGGAGGTCCCATTACTTCCCCAGGCAGCCAATGAGGGATACTGCAAAGAGCCCAGGCCAGAGAAAGAGGGCAAGTGGAGAACTCCTTAAACTGCGGCTGCCGTCAATTGTTAGCACATGACGGCCCGGGCCATGCTCCTTCCCTCAGATGCCCGTCCCGTGATGCCTCGAATATCAGATGGCCACTCCTTGATGGTATTTTCATGCTTGAAGATGCCGCCAATGCCATGGATGGCCGGATATTCGGAAGCGATGAGAACCAGGAAGACGGTCCCGTGGCTTTGTCCTTGCCAAAGACAGTATCGAACGGAGCCAAAAAGTCGGAAACCACTCGCCAACCTTGGATCACGAGAACGTCAAGAAGCAGAATTTTCATCATCACTCCGTCTTCGATCGATTTCGTGCCCGTGGCCTCTACTCTCCATTTTCGGGGCCCACCAGCGTGCTTGTGATCTCCCAAGAGACAGGTATATCTTCCACACTTGTCCTCCGACTTGCCATCTCCTCCCTCTCCCAAACCACCGACAACCGATGACAATCTTGCAGCTACACGTCAACTTCAATCTTGCAACTCAACACTGAGAACTCGAACCACTTCCATCATCATGCAGCTCAACAAGCTCACCGTCACCCTTGTTGGCCTCTTCACAGCCGCCATTCAGGCCGCCCCCGCCGTCCCCGAGACTGGGGTTGCCCCTCCCTCTGCCGACTCCGGCTACACCGAAGTCAGCGACGGTGTCTGGTACAAAAACAAGACTGACTTCTTCAAGGGCGACAGCTTCTGCAACTCTGACTACGAATACTGGAACAAAACTTCGGAGAATTCCCCTTTAGTCCTTGACTGCTGGCACATGTACAACAACATCAAGGAACCAGGCAATTGGTATGTCCTATTGCATCCCCATCTTCTGATTGATAGATAGATTGATTGATTGATTGACGCTGACGCTCGACGATGTGATGCAGGGTCGGCGCCGGGGGCCACAAAAAGCTCATCAGCAAGGACTCGTGTGCGTATACGACGTGGGCCGAACACAACGGTCTATTATACACGCTCGGCAATGAGGACCTCCGCCTCACGATCAAGAAGGCGATTCAGAAGTTTGGCACTCTGTTCCCCGGCGAGAAGGACTACAAGATCGGGGCTTATGGCAAGCTGCGTTGCCAGGCGCTTGTGATCAATTGGGAGATTTCTCAGAACTCGTGATTGGCAGGTGGGAGGAGCATCGGGATGATGGTATTGCAGCGTGGTGGATAGCAGGCGATCTAGGGTGAAGGGAGTAGATCGCTTACCACAAAAAGTATCTTCGGTTCATGACAATGCGATTGTCTGATCTCTTTCTGGTGCATTCTTGGATGAGTGGATTCCATGAAGCAGTGTTTCTCTTGTGTTGGCACGCAAGGTACTGTGAAGTTCACGTGGACTGTGCCGTATCTCGTTCTATATCTTACCAAGATGATTAACCACGGTCCACGCCCTCTCGTCCGTGGCCAGCTTCCGTAAAGAAATCTTGTGATTCTATGCACCTAGCAGAAGTAATCCACTGAAAAAGACCAGAAGGACAAAACAGACCAATCCCTACAACAAAGCAAATGTTGTGAGATTGAGACCGCTCTGTTGTAGTGCTTCCTCCGACATCCTTGGATCAAAATTAACCAGTTCACCAGTGGTAATATTTCTGAATCTCTCGGAATAATCCGGGTCGTCGGGCGTTCGATCGTTGCCGACCCGCTCCCATTGTGGTGGCAGTCGACCCAGGCGTGGACCATCATCTGTTGTGCGCTTGGTATTGAAGTTATAGTATCGATACGCGTTCTGGTGTCCATTTTGGTCGAGTAGTACTTGCACAGACCAGCCTACTGGGAGTGGTCCGAGGAGAGCTGTTGCATCATGTGATCCATACACCATGGACTCGCCAATAAAGTGATACTTTCCATCTCCGGCATTACGTAGTATCACAGGGGCATCGAAGCCCAGGAAGACAGCGATGATGTCTCCTATTCATACTAATCAGCTTCACACATTTCAAGGTGATTGGATGTGTAGGAAATGCATAGCTACCATTGCTCATCCCCTTGGGACCTGGCCCTACTAGACCATCCGTTGTGAAGAAGAGTTTTCTCTGAAAGTTAAAGGTTTTGACTGCGTCAAGGATATAAGTGTCAACATTCTCATTCCTTTCGATAGGCCCCTCTCCGCATATGAGAGTGTCGCGGCAATACTCTGTCCACTCATGAGCTGTTGTATAGTAATGATTCCACGGCACCCTGTTTCTGGATATCATGCCACAACGACTCAGGGTCCAGGAAAACCCTTCCAGAAATGTTCCGCCGCCAGGATAGGAGTTCTCGACCATGTCGCGGAGCTGCCACCTTCTCACAACCTGCAGGTCCCCCTTCATCGTGTCTGCCACCTCATCACGCACAACAGCAACTTCACCTGCATGCACGCCGCACACCTCCAGTACATGGGGAGGAATAAAGCGCGTCACTGAACGGGTCATGGCCGAAGAGAACTGTCCACGCCTGGACAGAGGCCGAAACGGGCGCGTTCTGAGATCAGGAACCCATGTTGGTATGCCCTCGGTTGCCGAGACGTCGTCTCCCAAGCCCGAACATCCAACCAGAGGTTCCGGACGACCAAATTGTTCCATCTGGGCGAGAGCAAACACCTTGTACACTTCGGCCGCCGAGAGCGAATAGTCGACCTTGACACGTGCAGGTAGCGACGCTGACAGGAGTCCCAACAATCCGTAAACCCTATCCGACGGGTTCGAGCATTCAAGATCGTCAAAATAAACGCACAACTCGCGACAGCGGATCAGGCAGGGTTATACTCGGCCAACCGCCTAACATGTCCCATCCTGTCGCGAAACTCGGCCGATGGCAAGCTGTTTTTGGTGGATAGGCATCTGATCGCGCGGCGTATCGCAGGCCATGGTAGTATCTCGTCACCACACTGCACCGCTGCGCGAGAGGAATGGACCAGCGTGATCTCCTGCAGGATGCACACCCGTGTGAGCCAGTCGCGATGGAAGAGAGCCTGCAGCGCGGCCCATGTTCTCTCGTCGTAGGGTAGGTCGCCCTTTAGCATGTGCCAGTTCAACGTCCCTCGCTGTACACTTCCCGGCTGGCTGATCATGAAGAGGAATTGATACCGCCGAACCTCTCTCTGGAAGAGGCATATGGTGGATTAGCCACCTTGTCCAGCCACTTGATTGCGGTCCTCAACAAAAAGTCCTCAGCAGGTCTCGCAAAACTTCAGGAAATCGCTGAAGACGTCAAATATTTGAGTTATGCTCACCGGAACCAATTGCACGCGGATCTGGAAAAGTTACAGACCAGCACCGGCATTGTTCAATTTGACCTTGATATCATGGTCATTGGACCAGAGTCAAAAGCGAAGAAATCGCCAGAAGTCTGTCTGCGCACAGCCTGTACTTGCAAGAGCCCTATTTCATGCTTGAGCAGTATCCCTACCGCAATCCGCAGCACCTCGAAATTGAACACTATGAGCAACAGCCCTCTCTAGATACGGAGCAATGTCTTGATCATCGCAGTCAAGATGAAGATGTCGATATCTCGGAGCCGTCGCATCTGGAGTTGATCTTAGCTGCAATTGACAACCTACCGGAGAATAGCAGGCTCGGTCCGGCACAGGTAGACTCGCGCATACAAACGCCACTACTAGAGTATATCCGCCCGGGTTACACCACTCCTAGTCAATGTAACTGCCCGAGTGGTAGGCATCAAAGCAAGGCAGTAGACTTCATCATCGGCAGGGAAAACGGTGACCACACCAAGTTCACATCTTTGTGGAAGGAAACCGAGGAAGGCCGGTCTTCAATGCAGGTTCCGGGTACCATGTTACCTTTGTTGCACTTTACTCATTATGAATGCAGATTCCAACACGTCATTACTGGCTCCAAGAGCCTGTCTCCAGATGATGTTCGGGGTGGCCTACTGGCAGGGGAGATGGGCTTGGGGAAACATTCAGCATGATTTCTGCCGTCGTCACGGCCATGTCATGCGCCGAGAGCTATGCAAGGTCAACCCAAACTAGATCAGGGGTTACACCAACCCTCTCCACACTTGTGATAGTGCCATTTTCGCGTAAGCCGCATTGGAACCAGCACCAAGAATCAGGAAAACTAACAGCAGCAACCAGTTCTTCTGGAAGGATGGGTTGAAGAGATAGAAAAGTGAGTTTCATCTGATTGCGCCACCGAAGTCTTTTGCAGTGGCCAGTATGACAGCTACTCGCTGGGCCTAAAGAATCGGCCGTTTCGTTGTCAGCCCGTTCTGTAGGCCCAACGAGCATGCGCATTTGCGCTCCGGGGATGTCTCTTCCTTCATCTTCTTCATCTTTTCATCATCTATTAGTGTTACCGGCCGTGATAGTCGCTCACAGACCCCTTAGGCATGTCAAACCTGGCGTCATCACCCACTACAAGTATCATGGGCCCGACAGGCGGCTGGATCCGTCCAATTTGCCATCAGTGGTAATATCGACATACGGAACAGTGAGCACAGAGACCACACGCGCCAAGAGTATTTTCAGACAGATACACTGGTATCGGATAGTTCTGGACGAAGGTAAGTCCTGGACACGGCCTCGTGCCTAAGCTTCCGCAAACTCCACAACTAACCCTCAGAAACCAGCACACATCATACGTAACTCGTCCACCAAGCAGTTCCGGGCCATGAACAGCCTATCATCCCATATTCGATGGTGCATGACCGGCGCCCCGGTGCAGAATGGCGTTGGCGATATCGGCTCACTAGTTCGGTTTCTTCGTGTCCCAGTAATGGGAGACGTCGCCAACTTCCGGAAGCACATCCTAGGCAAGACCAAACTCACCTCTCTCGAGTCATCAAGCCATGACTTTGACAACCTGCGCCTTCTCCTATCCTCTATCTGCCTGAGACGAAACACCTCTGTCCTACAACTGCCAGGGGTCAAATACGAATGCCGACGGCCGCACTTCAGTGCGGTGGAAAAGGAGGCACATACCAAGCTCATTCTCGCTTGCCAGAAAGCCATTGATCGGTCTGATCTCGGCAACCCAAACAAAGTTGTTGCGTTTCAGAAAGGACTTGGTTTGGAGTCTTCAAACGGAGTACTTGAATCACTTCTCCGGCTCCGTCTTTTCTGCGATCGAGGGCTAGCTTTGGGACCGTCCAAGGGGGGACTCCCCTCGACACTCGATGAGGCTCTCAGCCTTGTGCAGCAGAAGGGCATCTCGAGATGCGGGGACTGCGGTAACGACAAAATGGCCGCCGGGATGGAAGGTACCCATCTGACCAATTGCCACGCGTTGGTATGTTCTGAATGCCCCATCAAATTTCACGATGAGCTGCTTGAGAGTCGCTCGTCCAGTGGCGTAGGTGGGAACCTGTCCATTCTGTGGAGAATATGACAATGGCGAGAACCTCCTACCGAACCAGCAATCGGTCAGCTCAAATAGCATAGGGGTCGACGTCCCGTGCCCGTCAAAACTCGAGGCATTGATGGAAGATCTTTGCAAGATGGCGCGGCACGAGAAGAGGTATGTCCCGACCCTGTTACAACGCTACCAAATCAACCGCTAATCCGCCCAGTATCGTATTTTCTTTCTGGATGAAATCTCTTGACCTTGTCGAGAACCTCCTCAAGAAACACGATATTGCCTTTCGACGCGTCGACGGCTCGAGATCAAAGAACGACAGGAGGGCTTCGCTGCACGACTTTCGAACGAAAGATGTGCCGGTGCTCTTGATGACATTCGGAACGGGATCGATGGGGTATGAACACGACCTGTCACCTTGAAACCTTGAACACTTGCTGTTAGCTAACACTCATTCAGGCTCAACGACCTGAATGTGGCGCGCCGCGTCCACATCCTCGAACCGCAATGGAACCCGTCTGTCGAGAACCAAGCCATCGGTCGCGTGTCGCGGTTCGGCCAGACGAGAGAGGTGACGGTGATTCGATATGTGATGAAGAAGAGTATCGAAGAGGTGAGTGATTTCAAGCCGTTGTTTGAGTGCACTCGGGGTGATGCTGATACGCCACCGACCTCCCGACCGTCATTCCTCCCCACCGACTTCCCCGGATTTTCCTTCAGCGGAGCAGCAGCTAGAAAGCGGGCCGCGCACGATTTCCGATTTCCCCAGACACCAAGTCACATCGACCCCGCAGCTTTCGCGATGCATGACAAGGATCAGGGGAGGATTGCCGAGGCTCTAGGACGTTGGGAGGAGGGAGGGGTTTGACATCTGATTCTGGAAACAGAGAACGGAACATCTATGCGCTATGTAGGTAGATTCGGTGGCTGGACACTCACTAGTATGACTCCTGATGGTAGCTTTGGTGGCTGGACTAACTTGCCAGCCTACACGGCCATAGGACAGCCCAGAGCATCTGGAACAGAGTTGAAGTCAAAACTGCGATTTCGGGCCTGATGCCTATTTTCTCAGGTTGACGGCAAATTAGAGATACGGAAAGCAGCACAAAGTTAAGCATGTGGATCGGGGGAACTTCCGGTTTTGTCTGCTTGGTAGTCAGAATCAGCAGTCACACTGGGTTTGCGAGAACAGTTGTCTTTGCGGGGAAAAGGATGTTTTGCGATCTTGGCCTGTGAGTTACCCTGGAGCGAGGTCGTATCATGGAGTAGCAACCACTCGGTGTTACTCATCACTACCACCCGAGCCGGCCTGCTTGGGAGCAAAGCCGGATGTAAATACTCATGGGAATCGTCCTACCTCTGGTGTACTTCAGGCTAACAACAACCCAGAGCCCAGAAGGATGAAGCCATGCGCATGCCCACCTGAAATTCAAGCATATGTCTCGAGAAGATGCCGATGATATTGCTTGAAGACCAACATTCAATTTTCCCACCCATGACGCACTTTTGCCCTGCACGATACAGGTTATTTCTACACACTAGAAGACTGCATGATGACCCTTCTGGCAAGTTCCTGCATGTTGGGCTGCAGAGGTATCTCGGTGTCACCCTCCACGAGACAGCAAATCCGGGGAAACAGGGCTCGTCGTTCTCCACAGCCATCTCAAGAACGAATGAAATCCTTGATATACATCTATCACAAGCATCTACAGCTTCTGGTTTAATCTACTACTAATCTTGCTGCGGGCCAAGACGTGGTACATGCGGAGAAGCTCGTGATGGCTGCTCGCTGCTCCGCTGTCAGAACCAACAGGCGGAAAGACCTTGAGGCCTGGTATAAAAGCTCTCGACCCTGATCACGCTATTCAAGAAGAAGAGTCTTTGGTCACCCCCTCCTTTTATTTACAGGTTTCATAGGGACCTGGGCTATGATGGTATCTTCTACCGCAACTGTGCCCATCCTCTTGGCAGCAGCAAGCGGCGTCCTCGCTCTTGTTCCCACTCCCGTTCTTCAGCACAATGGCCGATCCGAAATCACACCCGGTCCGTCCTGCGGCGAGTTCCCCTGCGGCTCAGAACTAGCAGCCATCCCCAGCTGTGCCATCCCTTGTATCGAGTCAGCGGGCTTGGGTCTAGGCTGCGCGACGGCCGACTACGGATGCCAATGTGACAACCTCGACGCCCTTCAAGGAGCTGCAGTCAACTGTGTCATCGACGGCTGTGGTGGTTTCGACAATGCTATCCCGGTGGTGTACTCTGCTGTGGCCATGTGCCAGTGTGTGGGCTCCAACAGCCCCCTGCCTACACCCTGCCCATCGACCACCACCACAAGCGAGGAGCCAGTCATCACCGAGGCTCCCTGCGGTGACTTCCCTTGTTCCGCCGAGCTTGAAGCCATTCCCAGCTGTGCTATACCATGCATTGAGAACTCGGGCGAGAAGTTTGGTTGCGGCAGGACAGAATACGGCTGCCAATGCCAGAACCTAGATGCTATCCAAGGCGATGCCGTACTGTGCGTTATCGATGCTTGTGGTGGCTTCGACAATGCTATTCCCGTCGTGTACTCTGCCGTGGCCATGTGTCAGTGTGTAGCGAGAAACACGCCGCTGCCGACTGCTTGCCCGACGACGAGGACTGTGGGGACTACGTCGACAGCTGAGACGTCGACTGAGGAAACCAGCGCCGTTGAGACCTCCACCGTGGAGACCAGCGCTGTAGAGACATCCACCGCCGAAACCTCGACGGTAGAAACCTCGACGGTCGAGCCATCCTCCACCCCGACGTCTGACTGCCCCGAAGAATCGACCACCTTGGACATCTCTACACCGCCTACACCCTCCATCACCACACCCTCTATCGTCACGACCACCACAGCAGTAATCTGCCACACCCCCTGCGCTGGCCAAGCATCCGCCATTCCCGTCTGCGCAACGGCCTGCATCGAGTCCGCCGGTGGTGCCATCGGCTGCGAAAGGGGTGACCACAATTGCCAGTGCGCGTCGAGCGATGCCATTCAGGCGACTGCTGTCAACTGTGTGCTTGGGGCTTGTGGGGGTATTCCTGGAGCGGTGAAGGTTGTTGAGTCGGTTGCTGCTATGTGCGGGTGTGTCAGTGCTAGCCGGCTGAGTTCTTGTGAGACGACTACGAAGACGATTACGGTTGGGGATGGTGATGATGATGGGGGGTTTGTGATTACTACTCCTGGGGGGAGTCAGCCTGGGAGTGGGTTTGTGAGTGTTACTAAGACTGGGGGTGGTGGTGGAGGGCCGGTTGAGACGTCTCAGCCTGGAGATGGTGGTGATGGAGATGGTAGTGATGGAGATGGTAGTGATGGAGATGGTGGTGATGGAGATGGTGGTGATGGAGATGGTGGTGCTGGAGATGGGGATGGGGACAGTGATGGAGGTGATGGCGATGATGGTGGTGACGGTGGTGATGGACCCGGAGATGACGACGAGCCCCAAGGCCCTACACCAACCACCTCACGCCCACCTGTCGTCACCGCAGGCGCCTCTTCTAATACTATTTTTAGTGGCGCTTCAGGCTTCACTGGTCTCCTGATGATGTTGGCAGCTTTTGTGTAAGCCAGTCGACCAGTGATGATCGACTGGTAGATATTTTGTAGAAATCCCTGCCACTTTAATGGAGGGAAAATCGACATTGATTCCTCTAATCCGACATACCTCGTGAAAGTTCCTGTGTTCGTGATCCAAACATTTCCATGTATTAGGGCATTCAGCCGCAGAAATTGTCATCGTCATCCGACCTTTGGTTGATGTCCCGGAGCTTAGATGCCAAAGCAGAGTTGGTTAGGTACGTTGGGCAACGTCACGGCTTGACAGCAATCAGGTCACCCGCAGCAACATGATTATCAACAGCAACATGATCATCAGCAGCTGCCAGACTATGAGCAACAACCAAGCAACGGGAAACACCCAGGCTGCCAGCAGCAAACCCTCCATCAGCACCAACAAGCCCATGGGCAGCCGTCTGTCTATCAGTACCAAACACCCCATCACCTGCAACAGCCAGCCCACGGGCAGCAACCTGCCTACCCACAGCAACAACCTTTTCCTCGCCCTTCACCATAAGCCGCAGGTTTAGCCCGGCCTCATGGCTGGGTTGTTAGCTGGGAATATCCCGATGTCGTTGTTTTATATGGGATGACTACAGGGATTGACGATATACTGCTGAATTACTGGGATTATGATTGCCTGGTGTTTGACATCGTTGTTTTGTGTCATATACCTTCCTATCATGGGGGAAGACTTCGAGGGGCTTACCATAAACTCGTAACGGTGTAGGGATTGTTTTTAAGAGTCTTGTTGCAGGTTTAACAGGAGGCTGAGTTGGTCAACTGGTACGAATGAGCGCAAAGTGAGAAGTTGAAGAAGATAAAATATATTCCGACATTGAGCCGTCTCAGCAACGGTCTCTCATGTACTCCTTGCGTAATGTCAAGCAATAAATCACCACCAACTCCAAACACCTCTTCTCCGTTTTTTATATGCCCAATCCCAACTCCTTGATGTGTATACCCGGGTATCTCCTCACCCGTCATCAGAAGAAAACATTATACATGAATCACTTAAAAATCTGACAAAGGAAATCCCCCCATTAACTCCCGTCTTTACTTCCAGTAAACATCCATCCAAAACCAGTTCTTCGGATTAACAGCCGCCGCGCCCGTCCTAGCCCTCCCTCTCTCCTTCTGTCTCGGACCAGTGACATGCTGCTGCGCAAGTCCCTCACTGTTACCCACAACCGCTCCATACTTCTTCACTCTAGCAGGCTTGGGTTGAGTTGGTGGACGGGGCGTCATCTCATGTCTCTGCTCGTCGATGTTTTCCCACTCTCCGTCAGTTTTCTGCGCTGCCTTCCCCTTTCCTTTGTCCTTGTTTTTGTTCTTGACAGTAACTGCTTTCTTCGCTCTTGAACGAGTGAACAAGCCCCTCTTCTTCTTTGGTTTGGGTGGCTCGTCAAACTCAGCTTCGTTGTATTCAGGGATGGTCTGTTGCCATTGTTGAGGTGTCTGCTGCTGGCGAGCATTAGGTCCAACAATGGCCCCAACCGCGGAAGTGCGTCTGTTTGGACCTTGCATGAGTTGCGGGCTGCCAGACTTGACACGACCCACACGGGCTATTTGGTCGTCCTGGGTGTTCATCTTGCCCATCTCGATGTCGTCGGTAGACTGGGTCTTTTTCTTGGAAAGAGAGAACAGTCTGGCCCAGAAGCCCTTCCTTTTCTCCGGTTGCTGAGCGTCGATATCAGGTGAACCACCCGAGACGGCCTCGCGCGGGCTGGCTCGTGGTGACTGTTTTTGTAGTTGAGACTTCTTGCCAAATAACCGGGCCCAGAATCCTCGCTTTTTAGGTGCTTCGTCAACCTTGTCGGCGGGTAGCCGTTCGGCTGCCATCATCTGAGGCGATTGGAAATTCTGTGGGCCACGCTCGACTGTTGCCATGTTGCCGAAGTTGGCGCTTTGTCGTGTAGGCTCCATGGCGCGGGCCTGGCGAGTGTTCTGCATTTCGTATGACTCTTGAGGGATCGGACTGGGGGCTTCAACATCGGTGACCACAGTCTTGTCGCGTCGGCCGAACCATGCGAGGAAGCCCTTCTTCTTCGGCGCAGGTTCCTCAACGTTGGTGTCGTTGGCAAAGTTCCACTCGTTGGCCGGCTGAGGCGCTAGGCTAGGTGTCCGTGAAGTGTTGTTTTGCACAACATTCAGTCCGCGAGAACTTGTCGCGTTGGGAGGCGTTGGTTGAGAAACTGGCCGAGATTGCTCCGTCTGCTTGACAATCGGAGAGTTGCCGCTGCTCCCGGGCGTTTCTGTGGTACTCTGCTTTTGCTTGCCAAATCCAAAGAGACCCTTAAATGTCCACCCAGATGATTTGCCGGTGGAGGTATGATACTGCTCCTCGAGTGATTCCATGCCAAATCCAAGCGTTGCTGTAGCCATGAGAGGAAGCAGCCACAAGTACCTTTGGGTGTTGCCGCCGTGCTTAGCAGTAACATTGGCTTTTGCCGCGTCCTGAGTGTTGTTATCCGAGACACTGTTCAGCTGCATTGGTTCGTTGACCTGATATGCGTCCTGACTGTTGGATCTTAGCCCTGGGTTGGCACTTCGAGTCTGTTGCTCCGTTGGGTGCGTTTGCTTGGGAAAGAGACTCATTGGGCGGCTTGGAGGTGGAGGTGGAGGGGGAGGTTGATATTGTTGTTGCTCGACAACTCTCTCCCCCTGCACGATAATGGCGGGTGATGATTTATAACTATGATACTCTGGCTGCTGTTGGTCGTAGCCATCCTGCGCAATCTGCTCTGGTTGGATATAGGTGTAATCTTCGTATGGGCTTGCTGGTTCATCTTGCATGTACTCTTCTATGGATGGTCGATCATGAGGAACTTGGTAATCCACCGATTCCACTCGCACCGGAGACACTGATGTTTGGCGGGCAGAATAGTCTTTGGAAACACGTTGTGGTGACTGAGGTGGCATTTGGTGGGAGACTGGAGAACGCTCAACCGGGGCGTATGTGTCGAAATTTCTGGCATCCGCATTTATGATCTCAAACTCAGGTTCCGAGAGTCGTCGATCGTCGCCAATGGAATCAGGCTCCGACAAGTAAGTGTTAATATCAGCTGCGGGGGACTGAGCGCTTTCCATCGGGCTGGGGGGTGCGGCAAACCCACGGGTGCTTTGTTGAACGGGAAACTTTGGTGGTCTAGGCCAAGCAGCAGGGTATATGTGGTCAACCTCCGCAGGGGTTTGGGGCGCAGTCATTGCGTTCTCACCAGCCCAGCCCGTATGGTCGTAAGCATCATCTTTTTCCTCGATGTCCTGTTCCTGGTGATAGTGCTCGGTGGAAGTGAATCGACTATCGACCAGTGGGCTTTGCTGAAAGGTAAGAGGTGAGAGCATCTCGTGATCGTGAGGGTCATCAGGCGGCGTCACGGGTCTGTGTTGGCTTGCATCCCATCCAGGCACTGGGCTCGAGACATACTCGACATCTTGTTGCATATCTTCGGGTGGCGGGGTGAGCGGTCTTGGAGATAGTAGCTGCGAGTCACGTCCCCAGTTAGAAGCAACTGCAGGGCTCTTCAGATGGTTGTTGAAGGATGGAGAGAGTGCATTGGATCCGTAGGTGTCATCATCTGGGGTGATTGGGCGGGGGAACTGCTCGTCTGTGTGATGGGGCTCTCCAGAGGTCTCCTCGGGATTGTAAGGTTCTTCATCCAAGGCCTGATGAATCTCTTGTGCCACGGGATAGACCACCTCTTCATCAGAATAAACGATAATTGTCTCGCTCTCATCCTCTCGGGTCTCAGGTTCCAGCTGTGGTTGGTTTAGCGGTGGGGATGGGGGAGGCGAGAGATCGTCAATTGGCCCTTGATAAGACGGCGTGGGCTCGGGGTGGACGGGCAGAACGTCATCCTCTGGTTGAGAATGAAGTTCTTCATGATATTCGGGCTGCTCGTCAGTGTATGGAGCTTCCTCTTCTGTCAGATCACCTCCCCAGCCTTGTCCAGAATACAGGTCTTGCCCTGGCTCCTCGTAGCTTTGTTCCACTGGGACTTGGCCATGTTCCTGATTTGGCTCTTGGACCATATTCTGATACTCCTCTTGGGAATGTGGAGCAATTGGCTCATCGAAATCCTCTTGGGCTAGTTCGTCGTATGTCGCATCTTGCGGTTGCTCTTCGAGGTCCTCCTGGATATATTCATCTGTCGCTTCGTTGTATATTTGGTCTTCGACGTACTGTTCCGATACCTGCTCGACTGCTGGTTCATTGTCTGGTTCTTCGTAGGTATGTTCCGGATATACTTCTGCAGTGGCTTGCTCGTTTGCTTGGACAATCTCTTCCTCGGAAGCTGGCTCCTCGTATGCTGGTTCGTGGTGAGATGGCTCATCGTATATCGGCTCACCGTCTTCCTCTTGAGATGCTGGCTCCTCGTAAACCTCCGCGGAAGAATTATCATAGACAGGTTCGTCAGCAACCTCTTCAATGGGCTGTGAAATATGCTCCTCATATGCCTCCCCATCAGGCTGCTCGTATACCTCCTCACTTGGCTCCTCATAGAAGTCCTGCGCCGGCTCCTCATTCTCCTGCTGAATCGGCCCATCGTAGGCTTCCTCGGCCAGCTCCTCATACACATCCTGAGCCGGCTCTTCAAATAGATCTTGAACAGGTTCCTCATTCAACTCCCCGTACACCTCTGGCCCCTGTTCCTCATATACCTCCTGAATTGGCTCTCCAAACTCCTCTTGAAGAGGCTTATCATACGCATCTTCTGCAGCAGGCTCCTCTGTAACAGGCTCCTCTGCAGCAGGCTGCTCATACACCTCTTCAGCAACGGGTTCTTCGTACACCTCTTCAACAACCGGCTCTTCGTACAGCTCCTCCACTGACTCTTCGTAAACCTCCTCAACTGGTTCTTCATACGCCTCTTCAACAAGGGGTTCTTCATACACCTCCTCAGCCGGTTCTTCATACACCTCCTCAGCCATTTCTTCATACACCTCCTCAGCCGGTTCTTCGTACACCTCCTCAGCCGGTTCCTCGTAAAACTCGTCCACTGGTTCTTCGTAAAACTCCTCAGCTGGCTCCTCATAGAACTCCGCAGCTGGCTCTTCAAATGCTTCTTCGACTGGCTCCTCATCTTGAAAGCCCTCGTCGAATACCGCATCGTCCTCTTGCACGAAGTCAACGTCTTCCGCAAATACTTCGCCTTCCGCATCGCCAAACTCCTCTTCCATGGGCTGTTCGGGTTCAAGCGCTGGTTCTGGTTCCAGTTCTGGCTCATAGTCACCAATCTCCTCCTCTACATACACTTCAGGCTCTGGCTCCGGTTCATATACCGGCTCTGGTTCAGACTCATAAACTTCTTCAGGTTCAGGCTCTGCTTCGAAGGTACGGTCAAACTCAGCTTCAAATGCTGGTTCAGGCTCGGGTTCATATGCTGGTTCGGACTCGAGCTCATACGCTGGTTCTGGCTCGGGCTCATATGCTGGTTCAGGCTCGGGCTCATAGGCTGGCTCAGGCTCCGGCTCGTAGGCGGACTCCGGGTCGTATGAGGGCTCTTCCAATGCTGGTTCGTCCGCGGGCTCTGGCCTGTAGCCGTCTTCAAAACCGGTATCCATGGGCTCCAAGGTGCGGTCGCCTTCGTCATACATTTCGTCCTGAGTGGCATCCTCGTACATGGCTTCTTCTGGTTCACCAAACTCTTCAACTGGGCCCTGGTCATCCGGATACTCCCCGTCCATGGGAGCTGGGTCTTCGTCAAACCCCTCTTCCATGATCTGCTCCTCCTCATATACCTCCTCCTCCACTGGAGCCTCCTCAAACAGAGGTTCCTCCTCAAATGGAGGCTCTTCCTCAAATAGAGGCTCCTCCTCAAATGGAGGTTCCTCCTCAAATGGGGCTTCCTCTCCGAATGGGGCCTCCTCTTCCTCCTCTCCAAACTCCATGTCTTCGCCCCGATCACCCTCTTCGCCAAACTCATCACCCATCTCCTCAGCATATTCGTCGCCTTCTCCAAGCTCTTCGCCCACATCCTCGCCCATCTCTTCGTCGAACTCATCACCTGTGGAATTGTTAGCAAAGTTGTCTGTCGTCATGTGTGAAATGATGGTGAGCTCGCCTTCAGGATAGTCTTGGGCGAATTCCTCCTCGGCAAGCTCCTCCTCGAACGGTTCGCCGGCCTCTTCATCGTCGAAACCGCGCTCGCCATCCTCGGCGAAGTCTTCTTCCAGCAAACCATCCTCAGCATATTCACCCTCAGCAGCCTCGCCATCTGCGAATCCATCCCCGAATTCCTCACTATTGGCGAGCTCACCATCTTCCTGGTACTCACCTTCTGCAAACTCTTGTTCCCCTTCCGCACCCTCGCCATCGAAGTCCTCGTCCAGACCCCGCTCACCGTCTTCAAAGTCGCCCTCCTCACCAAACTCACCCTCCTCACCAAACTCTCCTTCTTCGCCAAATTCGTCGCCTTCGGCAAACTCTGCACCTTCACCTTCAAATTCTCCCTCCTCAACATACTCTCCCCTCGCCGTTCATAAACTCGTCATCATTCTAAACCACGCTCACCATCCTCCAACTCAACCGTCCATTTTCGGGATAAAATTCGCCCCTCGCCCT